TCCAAATTCACAAATATGCACTTACTTATTTAAGTGTATAAGCTGTATCTTGGCAGTTTTAAAAGTACAGGCACTTTTTAAAAAGGAAATATCAGCTCCATTTTTTGACAGCAGTCTTGAACAATCTGTCATCTTGTTCAGCGGCACACACATGTGTAGGAGTAAGCTGTCTTCCACAGAGCCTTCTATAACACGCAAACTCCTATAACAAGCAACTTGCACAGTCTTTTATCTTCGTCTAAAACAAGGTGATAGAATAGCCCAGTGTTGAGGAGCCCAGGCAGTGGCCCCTAGGTTTCTATCTGAGGCCCTAACACTTTCTATCCACGGGACCCTAGGCAAGGCACAAAACCTCTTTGCCTTTTTGTTTCCTAAAGTGTGAAAAAGGAATAACAACAGTACCTACCCTCAGAGGATGGGGGGAAGAATTCAATGAGTACATATAAAGTACTTAGAAAAGTGTCTAGCATTCAGTTGACAATAAATGTCAGTTATTATTATCTTAGGTTAGATAATAAAACTTGCAGATAAAATCAGCTATTAAAATTTATAGTCTAATAAAAGCAAACCTGTATGAATAAAAAAATTTATAATCTACTTAAAAGAACACAGAAAATTATTTCAGAAAAATCAGAAATAAAACAAACAGTAATAATTTTAGGCTTATGCTCCCGCCCCCAGTGGCACACCAAAACGTCATAACCGTACCTAGTGGTAAAGTGGTCCTATACCACTTAGGGGAAGGCTCACAGGTTGTCTCATCATAATAACAAGACTGTATATCCACATGCAGGAAGCTTCAGCAGCCTCACTGTATTGGCATGGAGTAGACCCTCAATAATTATTGGTCCTCAGAATTAATGAGTAAATTGTTCCACTTAGTATACAAGGCAATTTTGGTACTAGAGATGTGAAATTTTCTTTGCTAAAATGTACAGGAAAAGATGTCTCCAAGTGTCCTCCAACCATAGCAACTATAATACACAGTGGTCTCTGGGGGATGCTGTGTTGCTTTGCTGATCTTTATATGACCCAGCCTAATTAATTGCAAAATGAAAGGAAACACAATACATTATAGTACCCATGCCAATTAAGTAACTGATTAACTGAACAGTATAAACCTCGTGGAGGTTCAAACATAAAGGATTATATTTTTCTCAATTCCCTGACCTCAGCAGCACTATGCCAAATCTCCCTTCCCAGTTGGAGCAGATTCCTGAAAAACACCTGGAACAGATCCCAGAATTTTCAGGTCATTTTCAAGCTATTAACAACAATTCACCCAGCTTAAAATGCCAATCAAATGCCCAAAGAAGGGCTTTCCCCAGGGTACCTTTTGGTCCAGGGTCCAGGGAAATACAGAGGGGTCCTTACAATACCAAAACTAAGAGTGTAGGCCGATCCAAATCTCTTTGTGTCTGCTGCCAAATTCTCCAATTTTCTTTCTGCCCGCTTGAGTGGGGGAAGGGCCCAGCAATAAATATATGCCTATAATATTTCTTGCTTCTCACCAAACAGAAGACATTTCTTGTGAGTAGCAACCCCTATTTTTTGGGAGGTCTCCTCCTTCACTCCTCCCTTGTCAGCCCACAGGAATGAAATTGGGGAAGGGTACGTGGTTAGTTCTTGGGCTGGCTGGTCATAAGGCCTAAAGTTTCTGGTTTAGAGGATAGAAGAAATGGTGGAGGTAAAACTAACTGCCTGTGGTTATGTCTTTCTTTTTTTGTCTCTTCCCGCTAACTTTGTCAGGGGATGCCAAGCACAGGGATGATACACAAGATATTTAATAGGCGGAGTGCCAACCTGTCAGAAGGGATGTAGTCTCAGGGCTGGAACAGGGTCCTGCAGGCCCCTTGTGTGCCCTCTAGTTGCTGGAAGGATCAGGGATGCCAGCAGCATTGCTACAAAAGCACTCAGGGGATTTGGGTCACAGTCTTGGTACTAACAATACCAAGTATTTTACACCAGGACAGCTGTACTGATGCAAACCAGCTGAACATCACTCCTGCTTATGGGAGCTGGTCAGGGTCCTGAGCAAAGCTGTCTGTATTGAATATTTCCTGATGTAGGAGCCTGTCCCACTGCCCAGGCCAGCCCTCTGCCAACCCCTCCCTGTGACCGTCCCATGGCCTCTTGTCTGATCAAGCTGAACTACTTTCTATTTGTCCACTTGACCCCTGGGAAAGTCACACTTCTTTCAATGCCAAAACGGAGCGCAGCAGGCTATTCCAAGTCTCTCCCTGCTGCCAACTTCCTCCAGGTCTTTCCTGCCTGCTCAGACAGGTGAAGGGTATAGCAGTGAATCTACGTCTAAAACATTTCTTGCTTTTTGCCCCTTCTTGCAGGTACTGCCCCCGGTCTCTGAGAGCTACCTTCACTCTCCTGACGGCGGGCAGGGGTAAAGAATGAAAACCCCTCTCTCCCACCCTGGCCAGGACAGGGAGAAGGCCAAACTATCCTAGATGACTAGACAGCCTACGATATACCCCCCCTCACTGATGACCTGGGGGTTAGGGCGGGGGTGACAGGAGAAGCCTCTGCAGCCCTAAGTATACGACATAGTAGCTGAATTAGGCATCTCTTGATATATCCCTAGAGAAGGGTCTGGCCCAGATTGGAGGTGGCTTCTTGGAAAGCTGTTCCTTCAGATTTCAGAAAATACCACCAATTCTGGCCAACAGAAAAAAATCTTCCTCGATATTCTGTTATACTTATTTAAAGAGGCACCAGACATAATGAAATATGTTTTGTTCAAGAAAAATAAGCAGCAAGTACACATGGGATAAAAAAAAAAAATTGAGGAAGCCTGTTTCTACTGGTGATTACTTGGAAACGCTGATTAATCCACTGTGCACATATTTATGTTTAATTAGAAACTGGGAAGGCTTTAGGATGTTATTCTAAAACTCAGTCTATTAGCATTATGGTATCATATTCATGTGGGAAAAATAATGTGAGAAGATTTTCTTGGTAAACTATTTTTAGTGACCCTGTTTCATCAAAAGCATATATTTTCACTCAGATGTTATAGGAAACTAAGTCTGAGTATAAGCTAATTTGCTACAATTGGAATAGGCTTATTGCAGTCATTTACCCCTTTAAATTATGATCCCAGCATTCAAACATCTGTTAAACCATAGCATCTGTTTCATATTTGGGATGCATCCCTACAAATTAGAAGAGTGTTCTTTTTTAATGAGCTCTGATTTAATAGGGAATCCTTTTTTTAATGACTTATGCCAAAGAAAGAAAATGAGAAGAAAAATTCATCTCCTTAGCTTCCCCCGCCAACAGCAAAGTACTTCAAAGGTCCATACTTTTCTAATACAAAACTGTTTAATAAAGACATATTAATATTGAAAATTAGGTTGTTTTACAATTTAGTGTTTAATATTTTAAAAACCATATGTATCCATTCATCTATCAATGGACGCTGAGGCTGCCTCCGTATCCTGGCTAGTAAATAGTGCTGCAATAAACACAGAGGTGCATATATCTTTTCACATTAATGTTTTTGCTTTCTTCTATACTTAAATTTAAAAAGATAGAAATACAAACCATGTGTGTTTGTATATATGTGTATACACACACAACCAGGAACTGAAGAGAGGACTACACATTCCTATTATTCAAGAAAGATAATCACTTCTTTCAAATAAATTGTCTGGACAATCTATATAGTCTTAAAGACACTGGACAAGTTCATGACCTCACAGTCTCTCTGTTTACTAAGTCTTGTTTACAACTCTAATTCCAAAGGCACATTTGTCGCCAGGTCCTTACCATTTCAGTTCTACCTAAAGTAGTACTTTGCTACTGACTCACCCAGTACTTTTTAAAAACTATTCCCTGTGGTCTCCGTAAGTTTTCTAGTCATTTGTAGACTTCTGTTTGGGTCTGAATGTGTCTCACACAGAAACACATCAGCTTAATGTCAAACAACAATGGGTTAGTTTGTTCTACTGTTTATATACTTCTTTACTGTGTCAGGCTTTTGTGTTTTTATAGTTCTAATTTGGATCTGGCTAGACTTTAAAAGCTTAATGTTAAGATATTTAAAACTCCTAAATTTTTATGATACAAGCTCCCATAAAATTTAGAAAATGACAGGTCATCCCACTAAGTTAACAAACAATGTAAGACTTATAAAAGAACTATGTCACCAAACAAAACAACAGAACAAAACAAAACCTCAGAAGGAACTCATGGGAAGGAAGCCAGAAACAACAGAGAAAAGAAAAAAGTTTATAATATACAAGATTTTTGGTTATCCATTTTTGTACTCCTAATTTGTCTTCACCAAAAGAAAGAACTGTTACTATAGTGTCCTAAAGACATTTCTTCTACATGTTCCCTTAAGGCAGAGCAGTCACAGCTTGGCAAAGTCATTGCTCCTGCCCACCCTAAAAACTGCTTCTGGCACCTTCCTCCCCAACCCATCCCCCACCAAGAGAGGGTTCTGTCCCTCACGGGCTTTAGGAAAACACATTTTCTACTTTGCGAAAGGAATTTTAAATCCATGTCACATCAGATGTACAACTGGTAGATGTTATAAAACCAGACTTTAGAACATGTCATTTGAGTTCTCTAAAAACAACAAAAGTTTAAACATCAACCACCTGGTTAAAAAGTAGTACATTCTAGGGGTTCACGGATGCTATAAGAGAATCGGCGAAGAGGAAAAGGGCCTGGGCCCTTCTTCTGGGTTCAGGTTGGACTTACTTAACCAATATCAGAGAGACGAAGCTGACCTTTAAAACATGACCACCTGTGAAAAAGACTTTGCAATTTCCCTGGGTAACCTTTCTCAATGCTTAATGACTTTTAGTAGCAAACCCCTTTTTTTCTAAATTCAAGGTTAACCCTCTCATTGTTGAAAATTAGATACAACACACTTTACGGCCAAAGGTGAGACGGTACAGTTTAAGAAATACTGTTACGACTAATTTTTGTGATTTCCGCCTCTGCATAGCTTATCCGGTATATTCTTAGAAACTTGCCTCTGCCAGTTGAAAGAGTGCAGACTTTCCACAGCGTCTTACAGGCTCGGCACCACCCAACTGCGAAGTGTTTGAAGAAATCTATATTGAAAACAATTCACAAGAAGAGTATTAACTGTGACATCAGAATCCTTGCTTCCCATTCATATGCATTCAGGAACTCTCCTTAGTTTATGAGAACATCATTGCTCCCAAGTACCAAATAACATTAAATGTGGCATGCTTGGGCTTATAATTTTGAAACCAATTTTAGTAAATAACCCCCGAAACAGTAACAAAAACCAGGCGTAACTTTGGTGGCTATTTAATGACAACAATATTATCATTCATATTCCAGGCTTTAAATTTAACTCTCTAGCCTTACAAGGAGACACGCATTTCCATTTCTATATAAAGATCAAGTCATCAACTGGTCAAATATAAAAGAGCTATTTAGAGTCAACTTGTATTTACCAAAGCAATTACTTAATTTTTTAAAGGAATATATTTGGGAGCTCTGAGGAAAGAGCATCAAGTCAAATGTTTTTTTGAGAATCTACTATAAATGTCCTAAACAGTATAGCAGGAGCTAGGGAAGCTAAGAATTTTATATAAAACCTTGGCTCTGGCTTTGAGATCATGTTTTAATGTATACACAAAGACTGACGGTCAAGACCACAAATCTAAGTAAGCTGTACAATTTAAGGACCTATGTTACAGCACAGACATTATACAACATTACACCGACTACATACTCTTCTAGTTTGGCTAAACAGCAGTCAGGCACTGATAACAATGAACATCACCGTCCTTTCTCATTTTTATATGAAAATTTCATTTTTATTTCTAGCCTAACTCAGTAAAGAGCTGAGAAGGACATACGTTAAAGATCTTTACAAAGTGTGCTTCCCCTGGAGAAGTTGTCATCATTAGAGCAGCTAGCTGGCTTTTTGTATTCTCTGTGATTCTGAATTCTTTCTCAGTTTAAGACAGAGGTATTTCTCAGTTCAGTTTAGGAGGCAACCCTGCCTTAGGTGACCCCAGTCCCGCAGGGGAATCTGCTCCAGGGAGACCAGGTGCTTTGCTGTTAAGAGGGAATTCTCCCTAGAAGACCTGCTGATTGGAGGCCTCTGTAAGAGGTAAATATTTAATAAACTATTTAGAAGGACCTAGTTTAAGAAGTTTTAAGGACTTTTTCTTCCAAGGTACTATCATTTTTAACAGAGTCCTTTCCTATTCATCCTAAAAACTTACTTTTTCTTTAGAAGATCAATTTATGGGGCTTCAATCTTTCTGAAGTTTGGAAAATTTTCCTCTAGCTGAATTTTCTGATATATTACACTTCTACTTTTTCTAGACAAGTTAAATTTAATCACCTTATCACTAGACTAAGAGAAACAAACATTAATATAACCACTGATTCTCGGTGACTTGAGGGAATGAAGAACTGAAGATGAGTGCCAGTCCCTTGAACCAAGGTTGTTTAATAGAAAGAACATGGCTTTTGTGTCAGACAGATGTGCCTTCATTAACTTTTTGCTGTGTGGACTTAAGCAAATAATTAAGACTTTGAGCCTCATTTACCTCATCTTCAAAATAGAAACAATAATACCTGTCCCATATTACTGTTGTGAAGATCAGATTTTGTTTGGCACAGTGCTGAGCCCATATTATGCTTTCAATAAATAATGCATTTATTAGTAATAAGCCTATCATTATTAACACTAATAAACATAAATCTTTTAGTACAATTTCAAAAATTAGTTACACACTAAAATTGGAACAAAATTAAAAATTGCAACTCAGAGGATAACTATTAAATTTGATAATTTGTAGAATATTACATCTGTCATATAATCATACGATATCCTCAAGAATTACTGAAGGACAACACGCTGCACTGAGAGCCCACAGCACCGTTCCTAGCTCTTCCACTGGCTCCCTCTGCTGTTGCTTCTGTCGCCGTAGGTTTACGCTCCCTGGTTCTGCATGTTTGCTTACTGCCCTGCGTCCTGTGCCTCACGCAGCACACCCGAGAGGCCCGATGAAGAACGTAATGAGGGCATGGCTATACTATCTGCCATCTGAGTTTACACTCAGCTGTCCGAGCCAGGCGTTGAGAATGGTTCCTTGCCTTTCAAAGGAATCACCTGTTTAGTAAGAACAATTTTCCTCATTACCCGTGGAAGGATTTTTACCTGTTTTTAGGTACAGGGCAGTATTTTAAATGCTCAAAGTTGCTGGAGACCTGATTTCCAAAGGGGCACGTGTGCGAAGGATCAACATATTTTAGTCCAACATTTATGTAACAATAAAATTTTCATGGAATGTCTTAGCGACAAGATACGCTTTCTAAAAATGTCTTTGGCTTATTAATTGAGGTGGGAGACCTGAAAAACTGAACATATGTTACTGTCCACAACTTGAACCTTTTTTTGATTTCTCTGCAGCATTCACATGGCTGGCTCTTCTGGAGTCTTCTCTGGGCTTCTATCACTGCAGGGTCCTTGCTCTCCTCCCTCTCAGGCCACTCCTTGTTGTTCCCCTTTGCTGATCTCCTTTCTACAGTGATCCCTCAGGGTTTAGCCTTAAGGCCCTCTCTCTTTATATTTATACATGTTTCTCTGTAATCTCATCTACTCTGACGGTTTTGATTATAAGCATAGCTTATACAATGCCCATTTGTTATATGTTATACTACTGTTCATCCTCCCACCCCATGTTTTTTTTTTTTTTCCTCTTTCTGTTTAAGACACATCCTCCTTTCAAGTAAGAACAATATAGTTAATATATGTTTTTCAATGACTGGTCAGCTAGTGGTGGGAAGGGCATGTTATTTACGTTATACTCCTGGGTAAAGGGCACTGGGGGGCCATACTGCATAGTATGTTCCTGGCTTGGCTTTTTATTTTCCTTGAATTGATGGCTCTTGACAACCTGTTAACTCCACTGTAGTCTCTCCTCTGGTTATTATGTAATGTTTTGATTAAAAAATAGGTTGGGTGTAACAGTGCATGAGCCACAGCAGAAGTGCTAAGAAAAATTCTCACCCTGGATGTTAAACTGCTAATTTTATATCTGGCTTGAGGTATGGGAGCGCACTAAGAAGACAGTTGGTAAAGACCAAAAGCTAATTAGGAAATGGTGGAAGTCTTCTGCAATTATAAGGGGTATCATAAACACTGTACCCTGCGAGAAAATGACCAATACTAAGTGAATCAAAGAGCAAATGAACCAAGTGAGATGACTGGTCTACCTCACCTTAAAAGAAATATTAATGCTTACAATAAAACACGGAATACTCTCACGCTGATTAGCCGTAGTGCACACATATGGAGTCTTTTTTGAGTTAATATTCTGTAACACATTGAGCACTTCATGTAAAAACAAGTGCCTTAAATATGACTTATGGCATATGTTCACTTGTGACAATGCCTTAAACTTGGTGTGTTTATATTGGCAAAGTAAATACCTTTGAAGGAAAGTTTTAATATCCAAATCTATTTGTCTAAATCATCCAGATTAGCTCTCTGTCTTCAAAGTAAGTATGTAATTTTTCAATGCAAAGATATGCTCTAAGTTTAAGAGTCAGCCACAGAGCAGACAATATGGGCATGGCTTTCAGAGCTGTTCAATAACAGAAGACGAGCTCTCTTCTGACATTACATTTTGGTCATTAGCCTTCAGCAAATGAGATCTAAAAAGTGACAGATGTGTTGCCCTACCTGTAAACAACGAAAGATGCAGATAGGAAACATTCTAACCAACTTAATGAATAGGAACTGGAAACAGAGTGATGGCTCTTCACATGGGCCAGGTTGAATCTAGATGAATTGTGAGTGTCAATAAGGAATGGGAGACAGGCTGACATGGGGGAAAACTTTGTATTTCTTTCTAGATCTTATAAAGCAGGCATATTTCTCCCTTTAAATGTAAGCATTCATGAGGAGTCTACACAGAAAAATGTTCTTCACTCAGTTTTATGGTTCTATATAGGTTAACTTCAAATGAGTATTAAAATTTATGAGATTTGGTCAAGAAGGAAAAAAAATCCTTCTCAGCTTGCAAGGCAGAGACTTAGGACTCAATGTGAAAGAAAAACATTTTCAATTTAAAGAAATGCCCAAAGCTTACAGTTTTTTAAAGGGTGTGTTTCTAGGATAATGATATTGAACAATAAATGACCCACTGCCAAGAGAAAATCTAGCTAATCTCTTCCTGAAGTTACCGATATTTGTAAATTAAATTAGCAGGAATGGTCTCTAAGAATTTTGCAAGCCTGATCTTAAAATAATATTACAGCTGAGCATTTTTAAACAGTAAATTGATTCCTAAATTATATTTAAAAAAACACTTTTTTAAAAGTAAAAGTGTACATAATAGGACTGAGAATCCCTCTGAAAAGGGATGGGGGTATAAAGTGGTCCACTGGAAAATTTTCTATTATACGTCCATCCCTTCCTCATTTCATCTTTTCCCTATGAGGGCTCAGAAATACTAGGAAGTGTCTTAATAATGATGTAAAAATTGTGGTAAAAACTGTAAACTATAGAGCAGTGTTCTCAAACTCATTTCCTGATAGGAAACTTTTTGGAAATGTAAATTCTCAGGCCCTACTCCAGACTCAATAAATCAGAAACTTTGAGGGTGGGGCTCAGCAATCTTTGTTTGAGTAAGACTTCAGGGTGCTCTGGTATTATTTAAAGTTTGAGAACCTTTACTATAGCTAATTAAAGCAAGAATTCTTAGAGTCTCTGTGTTTTCTCAAAGGTGATGGGTGTTTTATGAAGTAATTATAAGAGCTTTAGGGATATGATCATGGTAATTACAGCCTATCTATTTCTGCAATATATATGCCCACAGCAGATTTTCGTTCATCTAGTTAGGTCTTGTTTAGTTTTAAATAAACCAACCCAGTATTAGGTTGACAATAAGGTCAACTCATAAGATATTAACAGATTGAACCTTAGTTAGGATTCTCTTGGGTCAGCTGAGGAACCTTGACTAGAGAGGTTATATACTGGAGAGAATCAAGTACTTTTCTTATAAAATCACATATGAAATTTACAACTCAATAGTGAGGTACCTAATAATATGTTTAATTTGCTTAGGAATTAAAAGGCTCATATTATCAACCTAGGCAAAATATAATTAGGAAAAATAATATACTGAGTTGGGAGGGGAAAACACTTTTGATTTGAGGGCAAAACACTGTATTTTGTTTTTCTATCATGCATGCCTTCCTCCATTACTATGTCTGGAAACAACTAAGTTTCCAAATCAACTACATTTTTAAGCATCCTCAAATCTTCTATATGCCCCATGGTCAAAAACCAGAAGCCCTCAGGAGATAAGTGCTATTGAGTAGATGACATCTGGAAACATCTCCTTGCACAACTCCCAAGTCAGAAGAGGTTCTTTTCTTCCATAGGGAAGAAAAAGCAAAACAAAAAAAAACAAAGAACCTCCTCTTGCTCAGAATACTCACATGAGGACCAAGTATACTGAGAAGCAAGGACAAACTGACTTGTTTAAGAGAGGCAAGAAATGTCCTCCTTCAGAATCACAGGACAGGGCTGTTATTCCATCAAACTGCTCCTTCAGCTGATCAGGGCATCAGGAGCTCCTGAACAATCTGATGATGGTATGGATTAAATAACAGTCGCCCTCTAAGTGGCGATAACTGTTAGAAATGCACCAGCACCAGCTGAGACATCCCATACTTCCATTTTAAATTGAGTTGAATACTCTTGGTAGTTAAGGCATAAATACCAGGTGTATCAAAGATGAGCCACCGCCTTTCTAAAATTCATGCTAGAGTGTAGAATTTAATCAAACAGTATGTGGCAAATACACTGTTTTGAAGGAAGTGTTTCTAAAAAGTTGGATAGGATTGGTTCAGGTGTCAAGATTAAAGATAAATTTAGTCACCATGCCAAAATTCTGTTTTACATCTTGAAAAAGTTACTAGTATCAAATAAATGGATGTCAACAACTGGAGGAAAGCAAGGAAATAAATATTAAGCAAAACTATTTCCCCAGACAGTGAAAATAGCATATTTATCATAATGAAAAATTATAGTAAAATCTTAACTTATTCAGATTCATCAAGCAAATTGTTCTTCATGAAATGATAACATTTTATATTGTTTTCACCACTTTCATAGCATCGCGCTCAACAGCTAAAGCAAACACTGTGGCAGTGGAGCCTAACAGACAAGGAGGCCAACTGGTGGTATCAAGTCACAGTGGTTGACACAACTGTCCCAAGAGGAAGCAGCAATTTTTTTTTTTTTAATGTACGGGCTGAAAGTAATTTTACTCATTTTCAAAGTAAAGTGTTGAGTTTTTTCCTGCCAAAATGATATCATTTTATATTTCACTTATGCAGCATTCTTTATTTAATGGATCAAAGTGATTGAATATATCGATATTAGAACAGTCCTGCTTGTCATTTTCTCTCAACCCCATACAAACAAAACTGCTCAGTTTATGATATGCATTTTTTTTGCTGGAATTAATAAAAAGGAAAAGGGGGAAAGGCCCAAAGCAGACAGCATCTTATTTTCAAGAACTACATACATTTTATCATTTGTGATATAGTGCTCATTGGAAATGAGTCTATGGAGGAAGTCAGGGCTTTGTGGCAAAATCAAGCCTATCAGATCTGCCTTCTAATCATACCAAGAAAATGCTCTCTAATGCGTGCTCTCTCTCTGGCTAACAAACCAAAGAAATCTCAGATCCTGCAAGAGCTGACCAGACCTAAGCCTGGGATTAGACACTAATAAAAATACTGGTTGAAGCTACACCACAGTGAAAGCTAAGCACTGATGATTTCACCGGTCAGGTTCACTACAGCATTTGCTGTGAGAGTTATTCATGAATTATACCATATCATTTCACTATTGGGAAAATTTAATAAATTGGAATCCTATGGCCTTCATGTTGATAGCAGTTTTCCCAAGCTTTAAAAATAATTAAAAACAAGACAAAAATGAAATAATTGCTGGAAAGTGTTTGTTCTGAATGAATTCTTTAATGAATGGTCATAAAATGGATATAATATATGGAGCTGATCTGACTATGCTTACAGCAAAGACAGCAAAAAGCAATGAGTTTTCTGTTATGTATATTATGTCAGGAATGACAAGAGGCATCCCTAAAGTTCTCTATATGTTATTAAAACTTCATTCCAATATTTTGAGCTCAGTAAGTTTTCTGAGCTCAATAAGTATTTAAAAAAAGGCCATACCTCTGCAAACTGAAACAAGGCCGATGCTTGACACTGTTTTGAAGGAGCATCAGGGTGGGATGTACTTGAAGATATCTGAAAGGAAACAAGTAATTTTTAATGCATAAGGACATTTTCCCATATCAACTAATAGATTCTGCCATATATTTCCACTGTAGACACTGACAAAGATTAAGACCTGAGTCATCACCCTCAATCCCTTTTAGAAGAACATTATAAATGATAAAGGAAAACAAAGGCCGTGTTTCTGAAAACAGATGACTGAAAAGAACAAAAAGACTGAGTTTGGATCATTTGCCATTTCTCTTATAAGGGTATCAGGTATGTGCCAAATAGCAGTTGAGACCTATTGAGACTAATTTCCTTATTTCAATGAATTTCTTAAAATATTATTAAAAGCTGGAAGCTGCAAGTACACCACTCCTCCCAAAGCTGTTTTCTACCTAGGGGCAGTTGTGAAACAATATTGGAGAAGCATATGGATGTGGGTCAGGGTATCCAGGACTGAATCTTAGATCTGTTCTTCACTAGCTACGTGACCTTGGGCAGCTCAGCTAATCTTTCTGAGACTTATTTTTCCCAACTGTAAATTGATGATGTTGAAAATTATCTCCATTTTACAGGATTATGGTGAGAAGAAAATAAGCCATTGCAAAAGAGCAACAGAACTCAACAAACTGTTCACTGAAAGTAAACAGCATGTCTTTCTTTTATAACATCACACACATACACACACACACACACACACACACACACAACTGTCCGACAGTGGACAAAGGGTTCTGCCACAACACATTTGGTTTAACCAGACCTTTTGTTTCCACTGGTAATTATGGTAGCCTCATTAGTTTGCTCTGAGGGTCATGTGGAAAAATTTTCCAAGGATTTTTTGAGAGCAAGGTCAATTATTAATTTTAGTTCCAAAGTGAACAAACTTCTGTCCAGCTACGATATAGAGTGAAAATGAGTCACAAGAGCAGAAAGCGTGAAAAACTTCAGCCCATTCCCAGTCCAATAAGTATTTTTCATCAATTAACTGTGCTCACCAGCTCCATCAAAGGGTACTTATTAAGAAAGAAATGCACTTTAATCATAACTCTTCAACCACAAATATCAGTTTTTAATCTCAATTAAATTACACTGGTTAGAAAAACAATAAAACTGGTTGGTGATATACAGTATCAAAGCGATGTTTAGGGATAAGAAGGAGTTGAGAGAGTGACTTCATTCACTGCCGAAGTCATTAGGAAAATTTTAATTCCACTCTAAATTTATGTGTCGAATCAGACACATAAACATTTTTAGAATAAATATCAGGTTGGTTTTTTTTGTTTTTTTTTTAAAAAAAAGACCTCCTAGATCCTATTAACAAACTGATATAAACAAACTATCATAAATGGGTAAGATTTAACCAAGTGCTCTGAAGACATTTGAGGGTAAAATCGTAGACCTCTTCTTAGTCAAACCATGACATCTATCATTTCACAGACTGCAAATATGAATCCACAAGGATTTCCCTCAAATCTTGGGAATTATAAACCAAGTAGGTCTTACCTCAGACATTACTTTTCATTCCTACCAACCCTCTATAAAAGTTTGAGCAGAAAAACAGTTTACATAAGGGAAAATGTCTTTCTTCAAGGCCTAAATCAGACAGTGAACATAATAGAACCAGTGGTATATACCATCTACTTGTTTTTGTTTTTAAAATATATCTTTATTGATTTCAGAGAGAGGAAAGGAGAGGGAGAGAGAGAGAGAGAAACATCAATGATGAGAGAGTCATTGATCGGCTGCCTCCTGCATGCCCCTGACTGGGGATCGAGCCCGCAACCCAGGCATGTGCCCTGACCGGGAATCGAACCCCAATCGCCTGGATCCTAGGTTGACGCTCAACCGCTGAGCCAAGCCCAGCCGGGCACCATCTAGGTTTTTGAAAAGCATTTCACAAGTTTCTCTCTCAACAAAAGGATGTTTTACACATTAATACTGGCATAAAGGAGAGACAATTCAGTAGAAGACATAAGTAGGGAGCTCCTGAAGAAATATTAGATCAGGGACCCAGTGTATAAAACAAGGGGTCAGGAAATCTCTTAGGAATCTTCTATATGCTATAGAACTCACAAAAATGTACATATGTCACAACACAACCAAATTTCATATAAAAGTTTAGAGATTTCACTACCTCCCTAGGGGTTCAGAGATCAATGGTTAAGCATATCTACTTTCAAAGTTGGGGCCAATATTATTTAATATAAATGTAACTACTGGAGGACAGCATGAATCCCGTTACATTAATGCTTTGGGAAAAATGTACGAAACAATCGGAATTCATGGAGTATCTCACAAAGAGGCAGAAAGGAAAGTGATAGATAAGGAGTGTCATGTCAGCAAATATACGTTATAATATTCCTATGCTATCTGCAGGGCATTTAGGCATATTACAAACAATGTCTTGAAGGGAATGATCCAATATGCCACCGTAAAAAGCAGTTTGCCAATGAAAATGTTGAGAACCACCAGGAAAAGACATTAGAGAGGGGAAAAAATCTGAAACTAAAAATACTCTCCTTATACAGAACTCTAAAAATACTCTCCTTATACATTTGCCTGTTACGCAACAGGCAAATGTTAGGAAAGCTGAGTAAAAGAGAATTCAGGTGATCAAGGGAAGACCACATGCTTTAAAGTTCAGAAAAAAATTAATCAATGAAGGCTCCATATTGAGTCCTAGGGTAAATGAAGATATTCTGGGAGGCATTCTTGACCTTTATACTTGATATAAAGGATAATGTGCTTTTCTACATTGTCTCTTTCAACCAATGTTAGGGATCTACTGAGCCCAACAGGTTTGACAAAAGACAATAAGACTTCAAAAACTGCCACTGCATGCTAAAATTTAAATTAAAAGTGAACTAAAAAAAGAGGGATGTATAGCCAATGAACAACCATGAGCTGCTTCTGTCTTCTGATTTAACACCTGATAAGTGACTAAGTTCTAACAATAATTCGACTATATTCTTTTAAAAAATTTTTACTGATATTAGAGTGAGGAAGGGAGTGAGAGAGAGAGAAAGAAACACTGAAGTGAGAGAGGAACATCAATTGGCTGCCTCCTGAACACACCCCAACTGGGGATCGAACTCACAACTTGGGTATGTGCCCAGACTGGGAATCGAACATACAACCTTTCAGTGCACAGGATGATGCTCCATCCAACTGAGCCACGCCGGCCTGGGATCAATTATATTCTTAATTTTACTATCCATGAATAAAAATTATTGATGAGGCTTAAGTCTAATAATATTCAGGACTTATTAATAAGCTTTTATAAACATATAGGTATTCCTTAATTAAGAGACTCTAGAGTTCCAAAATACCATTTCAAAATTTGATTTTCCCATTTATAGTCAATTGAGCTATGCAGAGTTCTTCATTGCTTTAAGTTACTGTCATCAGCCCAAATTTAAGTTTATTTTACAATTTCCCTATTAAGTATACATTGCAATGTATTACCTCAGCAAACTGAAATAATGGTGACTTCTGGCGCAATTCAGGGGATTCTGAGACATCAGGCCTGCAAGTGCCAGAGGACATCTGAAACAAGGAAAGACGGGATGAGCATCACAGGAATAGTTTCTGGAATACAACAGAAGATAAATGCCACCTAAAATGTTCCTACTTGAGAAGAGAATGGTTTTAATTGCCCCAACTTGAGGCAATGCTGTGAATATCTGCAAAGTTTTATACAAGGGGCCATTCAACTGTAAATAATGCCATAAATAGCAGATGAGCAAGACAATGCATTTTAAAAAGTTAATGTTCACCATTTCTATAATGATGCCCATTTGATCTTCTGGATTTCTGCCACCAATTCCAAAGAATATCTACTTCTTTCATGCTCTGGGTTTCTCCAATATTTCCTATCACCGGACTACATAAACACACAAATGAGATGTGAAAATACAAACCTTTTAGGAAAACAAAACTAAAATCACATTCATGTTTTTCAGGGTTTTCATGTGTTTATACACAAGCCCCTATCTTAGAAAGGTTAGTATTTACATAAGAGGAATTTCTTTTATACTACATATTTTCTTTTGTACTATTTACCATGTTGGGTAAACATTTAAAGTTCTGCTACCATCATTTGTGATTTTTATTATAAATAACAGTTACCAAAACATCACTTATTTATTTTCGAAATTCTTGCTATTAATCAAGTACTCCTCTCAGGAAACACATTCCCTGACTCATTTCAGCATCTGGGTGACAAAATTTCTTAGGTAGACAACTGCAATTCAAGTCACAGGAATCCCAATGTTAGAGAGGGAAGGATTTCATTGTGCCTCTGACCTAACCCTTTTACAGCTGAAGGAACTTAGCACCAGAGTGGTGAACAATAACTCCCTCCCAACATTCAATGATCTTATTTTTCATCTACAGGGCACCGAACACAGATACTACAAGGCATAAATATCTGCTTATTACCCATCTCCTCCAGGGGCTTTGTTTTCTGCAGAATATGCAACACTGACTGGGTACAATGTAGATACTCAACAAGTATTTGCTGAATGAACTACATGAAAGTAGACCACAAGTCCTAAATCACAATCAGTGTATTCCCTTCCCTCTTTCCTGCATGACAAGGTTAGGGAGTGCTAAGGAAAAAGATATCTTTCACTTTAAAGGAAAAATAGAAAGAAGTTAAAAATACTTTTAAATAACATTTCTAACAAGAAAATACCAAAGTCCACTGTGAAAATCTAAAAAAAAAAAAACACACAGCAGACAAAGCATCTATAATATTATCTCCTAAAGATAAGCGCTATTAATATTCTATGTATATTCTTCTAGTAGTGTATGTAGATACTATTTTCAACAAAAATGGGATAGGGTACTATGGTTATCGAGTGTTCTTTTTTAAAAAAATACATTAATTCTCCTGTGTTATTAAGCCTTTTCCAATGTAATTTTAATAGTTGTTAGGGATTATATCAGATGGCTGAATCCCATGGAAAGAGCTGATAGTCACCCAGGTTACATTCCTGGGAATAGTTTCTCCCTGAACCTCTTCATTAGACACTGAAGATGTGATTTTCAAAAAGCATCCCAGACCCTTGGGCAGGCGCAAGCATTTGAAATTTTAATTGTCACTTTCGGATTTGAAAGAGTAATGGCTACCTTCTCTCAGAGATAAGCTCCACAGAGAAGATGCAAAGCTTTAATTTGCCACCTGTGGTCTGGCTGCCAAAGCCTGACTCCCTCACTGGCACGTGATTCTTTGACAAGTTTTGTGCCAAATGGCCCAATCATGTTTTTATTTGCTCCCCAAGGATTTGAAGCCAGGGAGACACAAAATACACTAACAAGAAAAGGCCAACAAATCCTGAAATTATAAGCCACAAAAAATTCCTTATTAGAATGAGCATTTGAACAAAATATATCTTTATATTAGCATTTAGGAATAATGAAAAAAATCAATACTGTCCTGGTTTATAAAGGTATCCTGTGTTTAGCCCCTAGATATCCTGGTAAATGATCAAGATTTGACTTAAAATCAAGCACAGGACTAAATGAGAATTATAAAGTGTCTTTATGAAACTTTAATAATGTTGGTTGTACACATGACAGAAATCTATAAAAGATATTTGGGATTAAATATATTACCATTTAGGTAGCTAGCAAAATTGCACAATGCCCATATAAGATATATTCTTATTTCAGGTCCCATGATGAATGAGAAATAGTTACCATTTATAAAGAGTTAAGTTACTCTATGTTTAATTAGAGTTCATATTAACTGTAAGAAGAAAAGTCAACTTTCTTTCAAGTGCCATTTATAGATTATTTGGCCATAACTATACAAGCCATAAAGTTTTAAAGTTAAATAAGACCCTCGGCAAATCATTCTGATGGTCTTAAATAAAACTTTCTTCATAAATGGAGAATTCAAATGTAAGTAATTACTAAGGTATCTATAATCCGGCACATTATGTCTATTGTACTATCCAATCAAAGAAATCTATGCATGTGGACCGGCCTTCACCATGAACCTGGGTGCAGAGCAAATGCACAAGGAGTGTATGATGACTGCTTGATTCTCTGTGTGTGTGTGAATATGAAGAATCTCAATGACCCGAACAGGAATCCCACAGCAGACGCTGCCCAATGGTTAAAACATCAGTAACAGAATCACTAAGGCTATGCATTTTATTCCAGTGGAACACGTCCTCTCTAAAAATCTAGTTACTCTTATTTTAAAGCAGTGCTGATTTAACATATATCTTCAGTGTAGTATAATGGAAAGAGAACAAAATTAGGAGCCAGGAGAATTGGATTACCACTGAGCTATGTGATTACCTGACTCTCCGGTCCATAGCAGAATACGAGCAGAAAATCAGGTGGGGCCAAGAGTGAGCATAAGAAAAAGGGAGAAGGTGAGAGAAAACAGTGCCAGCAGCAAGAGGACACAGGGAGAAGGGAGAAAAGCCAAAACGAATAGACACAAATGCTTACAAAGCATTGTGGTCTATCTAAAAGAAATTAAAGTAGGGCAAATGGCCCCAAAGTTTCTCCTGAAGGCATCAGTTCACTGCAGTAGTTAATATTTATAACTATGATTCTAAGTTGTCAGGATAAGAATAATCATAAGATATATCCTTTAATAAAAGGCAGAAATGCATGTGACACATACTAGACATATTTCCATCTAAAATCTCAAAATGTAAAAATGGTTCAATGGCATGGAAGATGTATTTATGGAGAACTCATTCTTGAGTACTTGATAAGGCAGGCATCCAATTCAAGTGTGAATACTGGTGCATGCATGATATGTACACATACACACTTGGTAAAGAAATCTGGGATAACATCCACATAAAATGAAAAAGGTATTTCCACAAAAGTTTCCTATTTAACAATGTTATTAGTTAGAGGATTCCAGACCTTGTTGCCTTGCTGTTTGTATTTACAGTGCTCTAAATTACTTATTACGTGGGGCATGCTTGTTATAGATAAACATCAATTCCTCAATATCCATCCTTATGCTAGCATCGGCTTACTCTCTAAATAAAACAGAATATAGAGTCCAAGATATTTTCTCGTTAATTAAGAGGAAAGAAAAGACACTAAATAAACAGAGGTTAAATAAAGGAAGAAAAAAACCAATAAGCTGTTTCTAGAAATAGTCTCTGAAATAATTCATAAAGCCACTAGGTGTAGCTATACACCCAAGAAAGAAAACAGCTAAAAGGGATTTCAGAAGCAAAATTAACCACATTTTCAACTTCCTTTAAATCCAATCTTCCCTTTGATTTAGCAATAATTCACAATAACCAAGGAAGAGGAATGATTGGTATAATTAAGAATTATGATGAAGTGGTATTTTCCACACACCCCCCCCCCCACTGGTGCTATTCAGATCCTGAAAACTGTAGACATGGAAACTTGATCCAGGCCCCTGATATAAAACAAGATCGCACCAGTCAGATACACTGCAAGTGCTTTGGAAAGCTAGGTATTAGCAAGAGCCTGTTCCTACTTCACAAGGCCATAGCCACCCACACCTGGACTGTGATGAACACACAAGGAACAATAGAGGTAAGTGCACTTGTATCTAAACTACATCAACTTGCCCTTGCCAACTGAAATACTTATTGAGTACTCACTCTTTCAACAAATGTTCAATAAACACCTATTATGTGTCACCCCCAAAGACTGCTGCTTTCAAGAAGCTTACATTCCACTCACACGCATTTTATGCTGGGGAGTAAAATAAGGCTAAGGGAATGTGTCTGGCCCTTAAATTGCTGTATTCAGATGCAGGGGAAAGCTACACATATAATAATGTAAGTGTATAACGGTGGAATACTCAAGGCCTAGGGAGGGCAGAGAAGCAGCCTCCATTCTTCCTGGGGATGGTGGGGGAAGGTAAGTAACATCTGAGATATACCTACAAGGAATACCAGAACTGTAGAAAAGATGAAGTAATGGCAGGAGGAAAGTACGAAGGTGCCCAGTAGGTGCGAGAAGCAGTGATTTTCCCCATGTGGCCGAAGGTTAAGAGGTCTGGGAATGTAATGGGAGATGAATCGGACTGAGAGGAATCTGAATTGTGTGTTACATTTGAAAAGTAGGCTGAAGGTAATGGGGAGCCGGCCAAGGATTTCAGTCAGAGGAGCTGCATAATGAGATGTGCAGCTAGATAATTCTGTCACTGGACTGCAAGATGACCTTGGCTGGGGAGTGACTGAAGGCAGGAGACCAATTAGAAGGTTAAGGGAATAAACCAGCTGAGATGTTGGGCCCCAATTAAATCAGAGATGGTATTTTCGAGGCCTCAGTAATTGTCTGGAAGGATGTCAGGGCTGAGGTAGAGAGGTCAGACAATGCTAGTGTTTCTAAGGTAGGCTAAAGCCTTTTACTGAAAGAGGGAATTTGAGGGAAGGAAGGTTTAGGGAGGCTGGGGGTGGGGTTGTCTGCTATGGGAGGAGAGTTTGGGGGTAGAGGGTTTCATTTCAGAGTTCAAGTGTAAAGATCCTGTGACTCCAACGTCCAGTGATCTGATTCTCACCTCGCTCAGCCTGACCCAGCCT